GGTTATTGCCATAAGGTTCTGCTTGGTAATTGTACCGTATATGAAACTTTATAGAAAATTATTTAGGGAGTAAAATCATATACAACAGATGCCGAAAGGGAGGTGAGAATAAAAGAAGGGATAAGAACTAGGGGGAGAGAGAGAGAGAAAGAGACAGGAAACAATCAATGAGAATAGAGAAAAAAAAGCAGCAAAATTAGACAACAGATAAGATGTACAGTAACTCCTTGAAGTCTGCTTCCATGTATGAGATGAGAGGGACAGAAAACAGAGAACATAACAACAGTAGAAAGAAGACAACAGATGACCAAAGCAAACATAAAAAAAAGCTCCCAGAGCAGCGGGTGCCACTAAGATTTCCATGCCTGTGGAAGGCTAAACCTATGGTGATAAAACTATTCAGGGTGGTATAGGCAGCAAGACAGACCCACAAGAAAAGCTGAGATGGATCCAGGTGCGGTGGTTTTATCCCACCTGCCGTAAAGCCACCCGGCTCCCCTGCAAGGACGGGGCCAAACCTTCCAACGTCGACCCCCAGCCATGGCCGGGAATATGTTCTATTAATTTTATTCTTGTGCTCCTCTCTTCTCCTCCTCAGCCAGATCCACCACTTTATTAAATGATCCGTTCACCTGTTTTTTCTCATTTTGCCTACAGCTGTTATCTGTTTCATGATTTAAGGCCTCAATTTGCTTTTATTTGTTACTGAATTCTTATACATTAAGCTGTTTAAATGCCTTTTTGAAAAGTTAATGACCCCCTGGTTATGTACTGTTAGCTTTTTCAGCAGACTTCGGTTGTAAGGTTGATGCATTTCAAAGATGTATTGATTTTCGCAACCCAGGAATTCAACCAGACTGTTAATCTGTCCCAAGGGAACTTTGTTGGAGCAATTACTAGACCAGTTTTAAGCTCGATTCCATAAACCCGTTCTTTTATAACAGGATGTTGCTTTGGATGGCCGTGGCTAAGAGGAAAGAGTAGATGTTTGGCAATTGCAGGTTTGAATTAGAGCCTAATTTTCCCTAATCAGAGGTAGAAGTATCCTTGGGCAGTGCACTAAACCTCTTTATCAGTATATAAATGAGTAAAAGTTTGCAAATCCAGATTTGTTGTTACAAAAAGGCTTTAGTATGGATTATTTTGGTTCGGTGCACAGTTAGCTATCCTTGAAATCTGTTGTATTGCAGATATATATAGAAAGTTAAATGTGCCTAACTAAAGTGTAGAGCTACATAATGCTTCATGCAACTTTTCAAAATATAGTTTTTACATGAAGAAAGCCTTTTTATTTGACCCTTTACGACTAATACCAGAGTGGGGCTATTCTTCAGGCCTGGAGTATCACCCATCAGACAATTCACAGAACAGCAGACCGAGAACAGACAACAGATGTATTCTCCTTACCGAGAATACATCAGAGCAGACTTGCCCGTTCTTGAGATTAACAGCTGTCCCAGCATGCACCATGGCAGCAGGAGCTTCCAGTGGAGCGCTCATAGAGCTCAGAGTATTAAGTTAAAAGTTAACTTTGCTGTTGCCATTGTTCTACAAAAGAAAATTATTACTTTTTAAGCTACTTTATATGGCCAAATTACTGATTTAGTGCATAATAATACAAAAAGTTTTGATGTTGAGAGGACCATAGCAACCAGCAGACTTCTGAGGTTGACCTCTGTGTGCTTCTTTTCTCCCAGAGTCCATACTTTCCCATACTCTTGTCAAGAGTGTACTTGGAGAGAACATGAGTCCGTAGGCACCTTCTTGTGAATTGGCATATATGATATTGGGGCCCTGTTCATCTGAGCAGTGGTCAAAAGGCAGGCCTAAGTTAAATGATGCTCTGTAATTTTGTGCTTAAAGAGACATTATGTAAGTTTTTAGAAAGAAACATGGTTCGTTTTATGAGCAGACTGACACCTCAGTAGCTCAGTAGCCTGAATCCTGTATCCTGTTTTCCCTGATTTACTTTGGGTCAGAAAAAAGGGGGAAGAAAACGTACGTGCGAGCGACAAAAACGAGCAAGAGAATGACGCAGCTCTCTATTTTGACCACAGGCATTATCATTAGAAGACTCTGTAATATTGTAGTATTAATGGTTTTGTTAAACATGATTGGAATAAATTCTGGTAACACAGGATGTTTTTCCCTTTTTTGTAATACGCAAACATGACAGAAGTAACAATGAGAGCGCCACTGCCGCCTACTGTAGTGAATGAGCAATTACACTTTATACTAGTATGGCCAAAAAAAAAAAGCCTGTTCCCCAGGGCCATGAGCACTCATTACTGATGATGATGGTTTCCTACTCTGAACATCCAGCGAGACAGAATAATGTTAAATTGACACTTAAATGCTTTTATTATTTCTACTTTTTAATAAATGCAGTGTGCTCCATATTTTGTTCGCTATCTAAGGAAAAAAAAAACATATATTATCAATAAAACTAACCCAATTCTCCTATTGTGACAAATATGTCCACCATTGTGCCCCTATTTGAAATTTTAGCTCAAATAAAAATGTCAGAGTTGGGTTTGAATGTTCACAAATATAGGAATGCAAATATGCATCAACTTAGAAAAAAATGTTTCGAAAAGGGATTAAATTTAAGTATCTTTTATGTTTTAGGGGGCGCCCCAAAAACAGTGATATTTACTACAGTCTGATTAAATAATTTGGTAACTAAAACAAAAATATTCTTGACAGCGAAAGGAAAGATCATAAAATGTTCTGATCATGACCTTCTTTTTTTCTACAATTGTTAGAAACAATTGTTCAACTTATTTACTATTTACTACTACTAAAACTTATTTATTTAATGAATTGTGTAAATTTGGAGCCAACTGGAGGTGTGCAGTCAGAAAAGTTTTTTTTTGGAGAACTCTACTTTTGTTGCTGCACAGGAGCCTTCAGGTTATCCTCATCCTCCCAGCTATTGTCCACTGCTAGTGTCCTCTCCTCTGATAAACAGCAGTTTACAAGGACAGGGTGCTTTTGAAGTTCTCTGCAGATGTCTCTCCATCTGCTGCTCACTGTTGCTGCTATTGTTGATGTGAGTTATCTGGGGTTACAGTAAGTGCACATTAGCAGCATCCTGGTTCATTATTTACCTGCTCTGGCCAGATAGAGAGAGAGCAGTTGCTCCTCCTGACACCAGTCAACACAATGTCTGCCAATGTGTAATTATCCCGTTTTCTAGATGTCTATTCTCTTTCTAGTCTGTATTTATCTCTGCTTCATCATCTGTCTTTTTTATGCCTCATTCACTCTGAATGTTTTCCTCCATTTTTGATATTGAAGTATAAATATTCTGATTTAGTTTTATTGTGAGCTCAAAACAGAAAATGCTGTTTAAAATGCAAGAAGGTAGACTTTCAAAACACATCTTCGGTGTGTTTCCTGTTTCACAGCTCTAACTGTTTCCCCTGCTTTGTCCTCTTTATGGTACAATTTATGTCTTAGAGAGCTGTGAGCTGATGCACTAATTGCCTCAGCACCTATAAAAGGATACACAGAATAGCGCCTCAGACAAAATTCTTAATGGGATTTCAAGGCAGAAAAGTAAGGCTGGCTAAATGTTTTACTGGTGCATTATTTTATTACTTACTTGTAGCCCTTAAAAATGTGTGTTTGCAGAGTGAAGATGGTAAGTAGATTACAGACGAAGACAAGAAACCTTAAAGTGGATATAGAGTCACAACTGAGGCATTCACCTTCTCAAATCCAAGTCAGTGCCATCATTAATTTATTTCTTTATTTTATTTACCAGCGAGTCAGTGCAGGTCACTGAGCATCTTTCTGTCCATTTCTCTTGTCTGTCAGAGTGAAACTCATGTCTTATTTTCTTTTCTGAATGTATTTCGTTGCTCAATCACTTTCTGTTAGGGTGCTCGCTTTGTCTGGACCTTGGTTTCTAGAATCGCACACTAGTAGACAGCAAACTTGCTATAATTAATCGGTAATTCATCCATCCATCCATCCATCCATCCATCCATCCATCCATCCATCCATCCATCCATCCATCCATCCATCCATCCATCCATCCATCCATCCATCCATCCATCCATCCATCCATCCATCCATCCATCCATCCATCCATCCATCCATCCATCCATCCATCCATATTCTGTCTATCAGTGTGTGAACATTTGTATAAAAAAAGTCCATTTGTTTTTCTCATTGAATTTGTCTTCAGTTCCTCTTTCAATCCATTTAATTTCTTTTCGATCTGACCTTTTGTTCCTTTTTATTCCTGTCTGTCCAACCATCCATTTCACCAACCATCTTTCCTTCCAGCTGTCCTTTTACTTTTTACACTGTCTGGATTGCATATTTGCTTTAAACATTTTCCAGGAAGGGCTGGAAACTCTTGATAATTTCTATGCATGCTCATTTTTCTAGAATCTCTTATGTGACCAAGTGATTCCTGGTATTTTCTCCAGTATATCCCATTATTAGGTGTCCCAGTGTGGACAACATACAGCTTCTCTGACCCTGAACAGTCACGGTGACAAACCCTCTGTGTGTCATTGATTCATGCCCTTCAACTCTGGATTAAATTACTGCCGTGGCAGAAATTACTTTTAACTTACTTTTAACAGCATCTATTTGAAGCAGGCAGGCAGACATACCATTTGAGACCGACTTAGTCTGCAAGTCTTTTCACCTTTTTTGGTGTCCCGTTGGAATTCATCATTTATTACCATCAATAGATTGTCTAATTTGTATGTGAGAAACATCTTCATCCTTTTTTCTAATCTTGAATCCTTTCTACATGAAAAATCAATTGCAGCAAAGGCAACAAGTCCAGATAATAAGGCCAAATATACACCTCGGTGTGTCTTCCAACAAAACCTTTGAGAACAAGAGTTAAATCCAATCTGTGTAAGGACAAGATCAAAGGCAGCAGGGAGGAGGCGCAGGCCCTTTAAGAGATACGGAGTGGGGAGGGCTGTGCATCCATAAAAGATGAGTTTATTCAGTGGCCATGGTAAGACATGGTTAAAAGCGCCTCTGCACTCCAGCGTGCTCTCATACCCATCACAGACGGAGCATCCCCGTCCTGCCGAGCGCTTCACACATGCTGACAAAGCTGCGCCAGAAGCTGGGATATGGATGCTCTCAGAGGAAAGGGATAAGCCTGGACCAAGAGAGGAAACAGAGTAAGAAGGAACAACAGTAGAGGAGTGCATGGACAGAATATTAGGCGTTTTATGGAATAAAAAAAAGAAGATAAACTGACGGTGCGGTAAAGGACTGTAAACAGTTTTATCAAGGCGGAGAAAGGGCAATTCCTTCTTTCCAGGCATGTCCCCTCTCTCTCCGCCCATTCTGTAGTTGCAGGTATTTCTAATTTGACTTGAGTGCCTGTCTTTGATGTGCTGGGAAACTAATAAACATGTTCCTCTTATTTATCATGCCACTGTCTATGTTTGACAGACACATTTGCATGGGTTCAGAGAGTGATTTCAATGTGACTTTGTGGAGTTTAGTAATCTTTTCTGTAGTATTCTGCAGCAGGGCACTCTGCAGCGCATGGATCTCAAAATTAGGGCAGACACTTGAAGCAAGTTCTTTGTGTCTTCCCTTTTTGCTTTGGATGAAGGTAAAGCTGAGTTACTCCACTCCACATAGTCAAGTTTAAAGTGCTGCAGTCCATTTGAAATACAGAAGTGTCTTTGAAATGCATTTTAGAGCAGATATCAGCAGGGCTCAGCATCTTAGGACGGGGGAGTGACTGGTGGTGTGGGTTGTGTCTAGAGAGCTTGTTTACTGCCTGTGTGGATAGGAGGCTGTTGATGTTCTGGCTCCCTGAGCTGACATCTGGGCTAGTGTGAAAGAGAGCTATTGATGGATTTTCTGCTGTTGGTTGGACAGGAAGAGACTGAAATTGGTGCAGCTAGAGATGGATGAATATTACTGCTGTGCTTTAGAAATACACAGGAACACTTTTGAGGAGAATCAGAGAAATAAATCAAAATCTGGAAAGAAAACATCTTCATTAAATTGCTTTACTAGTAGCTCTAGCGAATCATTGTATTTCACATAGAAAGTTAAACAGATGCATAAATGATCTCCTGCTTTGAAGTTTTTTTCCCCTCAGATTTCTCTGCACAGATGCGGCACTAAATGAATGCTTCATTTTAAGCTTGTTTGTGAACCGCTCTCTAACCACAGAATGGGATTGTTTTACCACCTTGGTTCTGCTGTTTTTAAACTGCTGTGTTGTGGATTTTCTGCTGTGTTTGGGATGATCTTCCTCTTGGTGACACAATCTGGGTCAAGCTTTAGCCGGTTGATTGATTAACATTTGACCTGGTAATTCAAAGTGACAACCAAAATCTTGTGTTTGAGGACAATAAAGGGGACAAAAAAAGGTATTTAACAAATACACTATATTGCCAAAAGTATTTGCTCACCTGCCTTGACTCACATATGAGCTTAAGTGACATCCCGTTCCTAATCCATAGGGTTCAATATGACGTCGGTCCACCCTTTGCAGCTAGAACAGCTTCAACTCTTCTGGGAAGGCTGTCCACAAGGTTTAGGAGTGTGTTTATGGGAATTTTTGACCATTCTTCCAGAAGCGCATTTGTGAGGTCGCACACTGATGTTGGACGAGAAGGCCTGGCTCTCAGTCTCCGCTCTAATTCATCCCAAAGGTGTTCTATCGGGTTGAGGTCAGGACTCTGTGCAGGCCAGTCAAGTTCATCCACACCAGACTCTGTCATCCATGTCTTTATGGACCTTGCTTTGTGCACTGGTGCACAGTCATGTTGGAAGAGGAAGGGGCCAGCTCCAAACTGTTCCCACAAAGTTGGGAGCATGGAATTGTCCAAAATGTCTTGGTATGCTGAAGCATTCAGAGTTCCTTTCACTGGAACTAAGGGGCCAAGCCCAGCTCCTGAAAAACAACCCCACACCATAATCCCCCCTCCACCAAACTTTACACTTGGCACAATGCAGTCAGACAAGTACCGTTCTCCTGGCAACCGCCAAACCCAGACCCGTCCATCAGATTGCCAGATGGAGAAGCGCGATTCGTCACTCCAGAGAACGCGTCTCCACTGCTCTAGAGTCCAGTGGCGGCGTGCTTTACACCACCGCATCCGACGCTTTGCATTGCACTTGGTGATGTATGGCTTGGATGCAGCTGCTCGACCATGGAAACCCATTCCATGAAGCTCTCTGCGCACTGTTCTTGAGCTAATCTGAAGGCCACATGAAGTTTGGAGGTCTGTAGTGATTGACTCTGCAGAAAGTTGGCGACCTCTTCGCACTATGCGCTTCAGCATCCGCTGACCCCGCTCCGTCAGTTTACGTGGCCTACCACTTCGTGGCTGAGTTGCTGTCGTTCCCAAACACTTCCATTTTCTTATAATACAGCTGACAGTTGACTGTGGAATATTTAGGAGCGAGGAAATTTCACGACTGGATTTGTTGCACAGGTGGCATCCTATCACAGTTCCACGCTGGAATTCACTGAGCTCCTGAGAGCGACCCATTCTTTCACAAATGTTTGTAAAAACAGTCTGCATGCCTAGGTGCTTGAATTTATACACCTGTGGCCATGGAAGTGATTGGAACACCTGATTCCAATAATTTGGATGGGTGAGCAAATACTTTTGGCAATATAGTGTACTTGCAGTTTGTTTTTTTTCCCAGCTAAATATAACATGTCTGTGACTGCATGTTACTGCAGTCAAAGCTCCAGAAACTAAAATAATGTTATTGAAAATTAGGCTACTTCAGAACACCAGTTCCATTAAGATATCCCCTGATAAAGTACTTTAATGGAACTGAGAGTAGAGAAAATGTTGATACTAGAATCCCAACAACAAGTTCTTTTTTATGGAGTCACTGAACATCATCATTTATATCTCTATGAGTCCATCTTTCTTGTACAGTTACATTTATATTAGCAATGCTGAAAAATAATACAATTCTAGAGTTTATAGAGGAGCTAATGGTGGACTAAGGGACTATAGGGCATTCAAGTCTTCCAACATATAATGATGCTTGAATTTAATTTAGATACAGCTTTGCAAACTTCAATCTTTCTGCCATACTGGCTCTAAAAAGATGATGCAGTTATTTAGCTCCTATAAATAAGCCATCGATGGCAACCATGTTTAATTTTCTACACCACAAACCCAAAATTTGGTAGATTTTTAAATTGCATTGTTTAAAAGAGGTTATTTAATTTTCAGACTTGTTATAAGCCAGCATGATAGAAGCAGAGAGATGCTGAACTATATAAAACACAATCTTAGTTTTCTTAAAAAATAGAAAACATTATGATTATGTACTGGAAAGAGGTGGTTCCTGCTTTGCACCAGGTTTTACTTTCTCTTTGAATTAAGAAACAGTTCCAAATGTTGGACAACGATTAGCTGATATATTGGATGCATAAATGAAGTCAATGTATTGACGCTCACTTCGGGTTAACTGGGCCTCTAGAATCTTGGATTGAACTTTGGGAACATTTTGTTTTTCTTTACCGTAGATTTGATATGCTGGGATATTCACTTCTATTTTGTTTTTCACCAAGATTTTTTTTTTTCAAGTACCACCACTCACATTCCTGATGTATAGAAAAGGAGAAAAAAGTCCTCTTATAACGAAGCAACATAATCTCAAACAGAAATAGTTGAAAAACCTTAATCCTTAATTTTCCATACATCTTGTGTTCTGTTCTTTATTTTAAATATTCTTGGTCTGTTCAGTCCCAGTCTCTTCCGTCTTCACTGCCATCTTTGTTATTTAGCTCATTCTACCACCTTGGCCTGTTAATTACCCTGATCTCTCTCTCTCCCCTCCTGTCTATAAGCTTGTTGGCTGTTATTGTCCTTTGCTGGTTTCTTCTGTTGACTCTATGCCTCTGATTTCATTGTTGTCCTTCCAGTGTCTTCTTTTCAGGCATATATAGAGCTTTTTTTGTAATTTATTCTTTTTGACCAGATTTTTGTTCTGCGAATTAGGTTCTCCATGTCTAAAATCCTCTATTTTTCAGGAAGTATTGGGGTTTTCCATGTGGCACTATTGATTAAGATTGACCATAGGATTTCAATAATTTCTGCTCATTGATGTTCTAAAATAGCATCTGGATCTTTTAAAATGTTTTTGTTCTTTTAGGATGCTTCACTGAAATATTATGCCTTTACATAGAAATGCCAAAAATGTGGAGGTTTCTTGCATATTCAGCATAATAGAAACATTAGCATTTCCGGATGGAAGCAGAAGATGCCTTCCCCGTAGGGCAAGGTATTATCAGCCTTGTGGTTTAATCCTCCAGAAACAGACTTGTATCTTTGTGAATTAAATTTAATTATAATGCATGAGCAGTGTGAGCCGGTGCTGCTGCTGATTTTAGGGCTGGCTGACTAAAATGGAGGCCAAACACTATCTTTAATCAGCATCGATTTACATGATACCCTCCTCCCCTTCCTTGCTCGCTGCACAAATCTGTCAGGAAACGAATAGAGTCTTATCTCCCAGAAACGTTGAGCGATATGTCTTTTAAAAAATGCATCTGTTGTAAAATCCAGCATTGTCAACATCAGAGCTGTCACATTCTGCATTCTGTTTAGCTTAGAAACCGCTTAGAGGATTGAGTATGAAGCTGGCAGTTTAAACAGCCACTTTTCTTAATCATTCAAACTTATCACCAAGTGACTGCATGGCTCTCGATGGCAGTGTTCTTACCTTCCATGGAGAGTGAGTGTGGGCCGGGTTAGCAGGAGATGGTGGTTAACAAAGCTTTCACAAACCTCCAGTAACTGAAGAGCTGAAAAAAAGGAAAGACTTGTCAGACAATATGTCAAGAGACTAGAGAAGCCGTCGTTCTCCCCATCAATCTGATCAAACATCTTGAAGGATATAAACTGAAAGATGGAGGAAGCCTGAATGGAAACGACGCAGTGTCCTACTATAGGAACGATTGTTGCCACAACATGACAAGAGACGCTGCTTACAGGAACATTTCGCTTATTTTATTGAATCTCTGGATCTTGCATCGTTCCCTTTTAACTCGGGCATACTTTTTTCCTTTTAAGCCTTAGTTTTAGGCAAAGATGGCGGTCTTTTGAATCCAGAAGAATTCATCAATTGACTAAAATGTGCTAACGAAAACCTGAAGTGAAAAGTGGCTTCTTTACATAAA